AAAAGTGAAGGGAAGGACACATGAAATCTAACCTCTGGAGCTAGCAGAAAGCCAACACTTTCCAGCAGGATCAGCTTGTCCACCATCTCAGGATAAAGGAAACAGAACTGAAGACAGATGAAACAATATAAGAAAGAAAAGCTGATCATTGAGTGATGTCTTCATCCTGCTACATGGGAGAAGGGGTCAGGGAAGGGCCTCTCCTTCCCTGAGATCCAAGTCCCATATTGTCGCTCCATTCCTCTCCCATTTGTTGCTGCAGCTGCAGAAATCACAAGCCCCTTGAAGAAATGATGCTTTACTCACCATTCCTGCCACAGCCCCACCTGCAAAGGAGAGAAGAGTGCTCAGTTATGCGCAGGACATCCTCTGGTAGCAGAAATTCCCCTTTCCCCACAGCAGAAGCTGCCTCAAAAGTGAAAATTCACATTGTACCATGGGATAAAGCCCCAGTAGAGAGTAGAGGTCTCCCAGCAGGCAGGATGCAGGCAGAGAGCAGGGCTGCTGGCCTGCTGTATTCCCCATCCCGTTCCATCCCCATCTCCCTCTCAGGCAGCAAAGGCCAGGGAGGAGTTACTAGTTAAAATGCTGTGGTGTGCAGGTCCTGTGAGCTGTGGCCAGAGCAGCCCTAGGAAGCAAACCCCAAATTGTGGCAAAACTGAATCATGTTCGAACCACAGAGGGATGAAGCTCCAGTTCCCCTCAGCGAGCTTCATGGCACACCAAGCTCTGTTCCCAGGCTTTGTGGGGACCAGGCAGGAAGGCCTGCTGTGAATTCTCCTGCGTACACCACACACCTCTTTGCCCATCACCATTCCCTCCTGGGGGCGGTGGAAATGCCCACAGCAAGAGTTACCACTGTTTGCACTACAGGGTCTTGAAAGCAGAGGCATTTCAAATGAGGGCACAGATTTTTGAATCACTCAAGCAGGAACATGGTACTTGACACAACATAATACATATTCCAACCCAGCTCCTAGCAGCATATCTTGTAAGTTAATTATCTACTCAAATTTCCATGAATCTCACATCTTACAAGGACAAGAGCCACTTACCCATACTGTGACCCATCAGGGTGAACCGTTTCCACTGCAAGGCTAAGAAGCAACAGACAAAAGCAGATAGTGCTGCATTAGGAACCAGAGCAGCAGCATCTTGCTGCCTCTCCACCAACATGGGCCCCTTCTCCCAGGAGGGCTTTTGCACTGCTTGATTTGCTCCTTAAACCCCAAACTAGGCAGCTAAGTAGGCCAGTTTTAAAGAAAAAGAGCATTCACCACCTCATTTCCTTGGTAGTTAAGTCATGCAGCTCTCAAGCTCTCTCTGTATGTCAAACTCCAGCAAATTCCCATACGCTGCCAGACACAAGACTGGCAAGAAGCAGAGGAGCCTAACCAGGCAGCATCTGCTGGAAGAGAGAGACCTTGACAGAGCATCCTGCTGCAGGGCATTCTGCAAGATGTGTGAGGACACAGAGCCAGGTTTGCTGCTTTGAGGAAAGTATGATTACTTCAAGTGAAAGCTCTCTGCACCATTTAGCACATCAGGCTCTTCAGTCTATTTTCAGGGCACTCTGAGAGGCTTATAGGAAAATATATCTTTATCAGTGCTGCCCATGTGTAACATACCTCACTGAAAAATGGGGTTTACCCTCTGGAACATCAAAGAGCTTCTAGAGGCTCTTTGTGTACTGAATGAGGGATGCAAAACTGCACATGCCATGACCTCCCGCAAGATCAGCATACAGACAGTTACATCAGGAGTTATTAGGAGCACAAGACACTGGCTTTCAGATTTCTTTGCATGGTACTAAAGCAAGCAGCAAGCTGACATCAGGGACAACCAGAAGAGTCTCTAAATTACACCTAACACTGCTAGAGGTCACTGGCTGCTTAGGAAAAAGTCAGTCTGGCAAAACTATTTAGTTGCAGCCACCACTTCACCACTACTGCTTATTTTAGTGCAGAAGCACTTGCTTCCCAGGGCTTATTGTCTCTTCCTCTCACAAAACCAGTGAGAAATAGGGATGCTTATTCAGTCATAGAGCATTTGCTGACATCAAACTGAGGAGAAGTAGTGGGAACTGATTCCCCTCCTGGCAGTAAATGCTGCCTGCTTGTTGTACGGGGCAGAAGCAGCATAGCCCTGCCCTGCACAAACATCCCTCGAGGGTCCTTTCAGCTGCTCACCTGCTATCACCCGGCGCACATCGGTCACAAAATCCAGGAAATGGTAGGGGCTGCCTGCAGGTCGGTGGGATGACAAGCCATGGCCAGAAAAATCCATTGCTACATAATAGCAACCTGAAAAGGAGAAACCGTCAGATCTGTAGCCCTGCAACACAACAAGAGCCGTCTGGATGAGTCAGACCTACTTCTGGGAAGCAGCGGAATGAGCTTGTCGAAGGTATTGGCATTGTCCAGCCAGCCGTGCAGACACAGCACAGGGTGTCCATCCGAGGGTCCCCAGGCCTTGGCTGCCACGTGGCCCCAGGGCACAGGGAACCTCAGTTCTGAGAACATGCCCAAAATAGGGTGATGTCCTTGGAGATCGGCGTACTCAGAGTAGGTCCCAGGGATCTTGTTAATGCGCAGAGCTCTGAAAAGAGTAATATTCGTCTTTAGTAACTCAGCAGCCTCCTGTGGTCTTAATTAGCAGCTTGCTGATTTATAGCTCCCCATTCAATATCCCAAGCTGCCTTTCCTGACTGGCTGTTTGGGAAATCCTCCTCCCAGCACGTACTAGCAATGCTCCTAGGAAGAAATAAGCTTTCGCGGGGGGAGAAAAACTCCTTTCGGTCTCTGCAGCAGCTGCAACTCGACCAGAAGGCACAAGAGATCTGGCAAGAGGGAGCCATGCAGAATTCCCCCAGAAAGTTGCAATCATCCAGGCACGTGTCCTGGACCAAAATGACAGTTTGGGGAATAAGGATGCTGCCTCTAACACTACCTTCTGTTCCTCTTTTACCTTGGCGGTTCTCTTTCACACCACCAGTCGGCACCTTCCAGAGAGCAACTGGCTCCATGGCACACAGCAGGTCACTGCTGCCACCCTCCCGAACGCCCCTCGGGGCCAGGGACACTGATGAGGTATGGGTCCACAACCTGCCAGGAACCTGCTGCACCTCAAACCTGTCTCCTCACTGCCGATCTGCCTGGCAATTGCTGAGTTACATCTGACCCTTGCTCAGCCCTCAGCTCCTGAGTGAATCCTCCAGTACTACCCACCCTCTGGGGACCCTCCAATTGTGGTTTGAACATTTTCCCTTCACCCCTAAGACCCGGGACTCCTCGTGGGCGACCTGACTACCCCCAAATCCCTTATGCCACATCCCTTTCCAAGGGCTTGTGTCTCTGCTCCCTTAAATAGCGCTCTGAGACCGCACAGCAATTAAATCGCTCTACAGCAAGTCCCTCCTGAGCCCAAACATCTCCCAGGCGCGAGGGCAGAGGAGGTTGGCCGAGAGGGGATGCTGAGCCAGGGCCCTGATGGTCCCGATCAGCCACGGCTGGGGCTCCCCACGAGGTGGTTAACGCAGCGCAGGGGCAGCCCCAGCGGCGGGGCGGGAG